TAACATAAACAGTTGATTAACACACATTTTTTGTTCTATATGTTATATACTGTATTCTTACAATAAAGTAAGCTAGAGCAAAGAAAATGTTATTATGAAAATTATAAGAAGAAAAAATATATTTACTATTCATTAAGTGGAAGTGGATTATTATAAAGGTCTTCATCCTCGTTGTTGTCTTCCCATTGAGTGGGCTGAGGAAGGAGGAGGAAGGGGTTGGTCTTACTGTCTTATGTGGCAGAGGGGGCAGAGGAGGAGGAGGTGGGAGGGGAGGCAGAAGAGGCAGGCATACTTTGTATAACTTTACAGAAATACATCATAATTTCCATCTGACATTTTTGCTTTTTCATTTCTTTAAAAATGTTTCTACATGGTAGCAGTCTTTCTTCCACTATTTGCTTTAGTTTCAGTGCCCATATCACAGGAGGGTCCATGTTATGAAAGAAGTAAAAAATGATCTCAAATAATCAGAACTCTTCTGCCAGATTATCTAATGTCAATTTGTTTTCTGGCACTACTTCTTCTACGCCTTCTTCCTCATTGCCTGGCACTGGTTCAGAAGCTCTCATCTCCATCAAGTCATCTTCTGTTAATTCCTCTAGCGTGTTGTCTATTAGTTCTTGAATTTTTCTAAGATCCATATCTTGAAACTCTTCACCCCCTACCTTTTTTGCCATATCCGCAATCTCTTCCGTGATTTCCTTGATTGGCTCTTTTGTAAATCCTGTGAAGTCATGCATAGCATCTGTGCACTGTTTTCTCCAGCAGGAGCTCATTGTTTCAGGTTGATGGCTTTCATATTTTTTCCATAACAACAATGGCATCTTCAGTGGTGTGATCCTTCTGGACGTTGATGGTGTTCTCTCTTTTGGGGTTCTCTTCCATACTGTTGACAATCCTTTCCACAGAGTACCATGTGTAATGAGCCTTAAAGGTCCTTATCACATACTGATCTAGAGGCTGAATTAGAGACATTGTGTTTAGGGGCAAGTAGACCACTTGGGTGCTTTCAGTGTTTGACTAATGGGGTTCTGGGTGGCCAGAGGCATTATCCAATATCAAAAGAACTTTAAAAGGCAGTCCTTTACTGGCAAGGTACTTCCTGACCTCAGTGACAAAACAGTGATGGAACCAACCCAGAAAAAGAGTTCTCATTGTCCAGGCCTTCTTGCTGTACAGCCAAAAGACTGGCTGGCAGTTGGTGTTTATTTTTTCCCTTCAAGGCTCAGGGGTTAGCAGCTTTATATATAGGGGCAGTCCTGATCATAGACCCACTTGCATTTGCACAAAACAGTAGAGTCACCCTATCCTATCCCTTCTTGCCTTAAATCCCAGTACTTACTTCCCTTCCTTACTAATAAATGTCCTTTGTGGCATTTTCTTTTCCACAATAGAGCAGTTTCTTCTGTACTGAAAACCTGTTCAAGCAGAAATCCATTTTCCTCAATGATTTTCTTAATGACATCTGGAAACTCATCTACAGCCTCTTTGTCGGCAGAAACTGCTTCTCCTGCTATCTTGACATTTTTTAAGTCAAACCTCTTTTTAAAATTATGAAACCATCTTTTGGTAGCATTTAATTTTCCAGCTTTAGATCCTTCTTTCCTTTTGCTTTAAATTGTCATATAATGACTTTGCTTTTTCTTGAATCATGTTAGAGTCTATTGATAGCCTTTCACATAGCAATCCTACACCCACATAAAAGCTGCATTTTCAATACTAGATAAAAGGGTACTTCACAAAAAGTGCAAGGTTCTCATGCCTTCTGGCACAGATGCATCAATGGGTTCATGAATTTCCTTTTCTTTTTTCTACAATGGTCCTTAGGCTGGATTCATTTGTCTTGAAATGGCGGGCAACCACAGCTTCAGACCTCAATCTGTGGTACACATCAAGCAATTCAACTCTCTCTTGTAATGTCATGACTTTGATTTTTCGGAGCACTTCCAGCATCACTAATGGCACATTGTATGGGTCCCATGGTGATTCAAGATTTACAGTATGGCACCTAACATGAAAAATACGAGAGATCACTTTTTACTGTAATACGCAATTTACTGGAGAGACGAACTGCTCATGTGGAGATGATTAGCTTCACGTGGTGTTTTAAGCTGATAATGATAACACCTGAGCTCACTGCAATAGCAATAGGAGGTCTCTGTGAAATCATTACAGTAGTACAGTAAGTACTACAGTTAAATTTTACAGTTATGATTTAGTACTGCATGTTTACATTTGATTACATTTCTCTCGACTCTGAATGGCACTATGTATGGTCTGTGTGTGTGTAAATTTTGATAATTTTTTATTATAGATTTATGTATATTTTATGGTAGGAGATGATAAAATTGAACTAGTAGTATCTATATATATTTTATGCATTCATGACATACCTAACCGTTCTGTAATTTTTTTTGATATTTCTTTGGCTTAGTGGTTCATCAGTGAGTTTTTTCAAATTGTTACAAATCTCCAGAAATTTTCCAATATATTTAGTAAGAAAAATTCGTGTGTAAGGGGACCTGCACAGTTCAAGCCTCTGTTTTTCAAGGGTCAACTTTGTTATGAGCCACACATTGATTTCTATTGTAACTTTAATTTTGTTTTTATGTCTGAGAGTTATTCTTTTTATCAATTCTAAAGCCATTTTCATGAGTGATTGAAAATGAAAATATTTGTAATCATAATTTAATAGTTAACAATTTGGTTCTTTATATAATAGAATAAATAATAAAAATTCAGGTATTGAACTTTTAGTATTTATGCAAATTGTATTTTTATTATAACGCTTAATTAGAAGTGAGGTTTTTTGTTGTTGTTGTTGTTAAATAAGCTTTTTCTTACCTGCTCCGTTTACAATTTGGAGTGGAGGGAACAGGTGACAGAAGGCTTATTAGAAGAAATGGGTCGGGCGCGGTGGCTCACGCCTGTAATCCTAGCTCTCTGGGAGGCCGAGGCGGGCGGATTGTTTGAGCTCAGGAGTTCGAGATCAGCCT